CACTGCAAGGGTAAGTGCCCGGAGTTGTGCTTTAAGCAATAACAAAGGTGCAGAAGGAGTCACGATGGGGGATTGCTCTAAGTAGTTTATGATTGCACCTTGTTAGTGATTGTAAAATGACGCAGTCTCTAATTATGTGCGTTTTGTGCATCAGTCAGCTGTAATTATGTCACTTCATAGGTGTGATATCATTTTATTTTCAAATGTGCTGCTGTGTAATATAGTGCCCAACAATCTGCGGATTAGACATTACCGTCTAAAAACGTTTTATAATATAAAGCAGCTCTGAGTAATCTGCATGAAATATGGATGCAAACATTGCGTTCACACCGCAGAAATAAGGTATTTGTTTTTTGTATCACACACAGCATGCGTTTGTTGCGCAGGATAGTATAACAGAATGCACATTAGTGGATAGCAGCTAATGGGAAATCTCAGCAATGGAGACGGACAGCAGTAAAAATACAGACAGAGGTTCTCAACTGCTGGGTCAGAACTAATTTTTCAGTGGGTCGCCATGTGCATTCCACTGTGCTAGGTGACGGGCTTCTCAACCTCACCCTAGCACAGCACGGTCAGTTCTTGCTCCAAACCACCATTCAAAATATGCTGCTTGGTGAGGCGGGGTGGGGATATGGCTGTGGGGGAGCTCCATCCATCTGTTCATTGCTTACAGCTCCCTCACGTGTCCCGTAGTGGTGCCTGGACCGGAGTGATGTCACATTCTGGTTCCCGGCACCTCTACCGGGCGTGCAAGGGAGCTGTACCAGCATTGCACGTATGGATGGAGCTCCGTCACAGCACAGCAACCCACACTGGACCCCAGGATGAGGATCCACTACAGTTCTCGTAAGGTAGGGAGACTGGGTTCTTGTGTGTGTGTCAGTGTTTTTGAGGGCCCGTTCACACTAGTCCGGGGTAGTTACCACACAGTTGCACCTACCGCATTCTCTGTGAAGGAGGTGCGTTGCATTGCCATTCGTTTGAATGGCATCCCAAATGCACCTCCCACCCACAGTTCGATCGCCCGTACCACAATGCCGTGTGTTCCAGTGTGGTGGAACTTGGGTTGTGACTTAATGACCAAAGACAAATGTGGGTCCTGAGGTTACACAGGTTGAGAACCATAGGTGGGTTAGAACCTCTGTGTTCTTACTGGTGTGTCTCCATTGCTGAGATTTCCCTTTAGCTGTGCTCTCCCCCCCCCCCCCCAAAAACCCCCCCCCTCCTCTGAGCAGGAAGTGAGGGCTGGAGTGGGGCTTGAAGGAACTGGCATTGGGCACAAGGTTCATGGCTGCTGGAATTTGTTTAGCTTTTGCATGTTAGAGAAAATGTAAAGCTTACCTAAATTTGAATGTTAAAATAAAGGTTTGTCGGCACATTTTTTAGAGTAGGTCATCATAATAGTGGGGGCTAAAATACCTTTCCTGAAACAATCCTGCTCCAGGCTCCCCTTAGTGCTGCCCATATGTTTTAAAATGAGACTGCAGCCTGATTATGTACTTTAACTGAGAACTATCGGCAAACCTATTTTGGCATTAGTTCTCTTTTGGGTCACAGGAGGACATTTACTAATGTCCTCCTGTGACCCAAAACTCAGCATATAGCGGGATATTGCCGACAATATTGTTATGATCCGCCCGCTACCTGATTGACAGCTGGCTCTGCCTCTCTGGAGCCAGAGGCAGTTGTGCCCGCCCCCTCCCCGTCTGTCCTTCCAATGACCGCTGTTGGCACCCTTTTGGCCGGCATTACTTAATCAGCTGATTGAAGGAGATGGTCGGAAAAGCTTCGTACGAGCAGAGCCGGCAGCCAATGAGCTGCCGGCTCTGTTCGGGTATTCTGATAGTGGCCGACGGCTGCTGTCAGAGTACAATGCAAACGGGGATTCCGCTATCAACACACTCGTAGTGTTGATGGAGGAATCCGCTCTATTTTTTTTTTCTGGTTCAGCCTGCGGAGTGAACGAGAAAAATAGAGCAGTGTATGGCCAGCCTTAGCCATACTTTGGCCTATCCTCTTGTTCATTTGAGGTCATGTGACCAATACTAAAGGGAGCCTTGTGCAAGGTTTTCTCTATAAAGGTTTTCCCATCCTAGCAGGACTATTAACATAATTTTAAAGGACCACTCCCAGCATGGATGCTTATTGGCTGCCAATGCAATGAAACTACTAGTTGCCTGGCTGAATTGATGATTCTCTGGTATCAGTGCTTTGAGTCTTGACCTAACAAGAAGGCAAATCGTGTGTTCCCACTTCATTTGCTGCGTGCTTGTTACAGGCCATTTATAAAGCAGCAGTATGACCTAACCATATCTTTACCTGAAAATAACTCTAAAGCAAGTGACTCTCCATCTATTTTTATTATTGGGAGAGAGGGAGTACCGGAAAAGGAGGGAACCTATCACATGACCCTGACAGGTCATATGACAAGGCTCTCTCCCAGAGTGTATTTGCAGCATTGTGCAGAGCACACATCACAGGCTGTACACCTTTTTTATATAAAACTTCAAATCCAAGTTCAGCGTGGTGATCACGGCGATGTGCGAAGAGGGCATTTTCCAATGTCCACTTTAAATGGACCTCAGAGTATAGAAGTCAGACACTGTCAGGAAAGAGGTCCGCTTTCATTTGTTTCCCCCTAATGAAGTGTCTTTGGAGTGAACATTTGACTATAGGCCTTCCTTCACATTGTTTGTTCAGTGATCTGGATGATCAGCAAGTCATGGGGTTGAAGTCATTTCGGAGGAATTATTGCAGGTGCAGTTCTTGCCTGCACAACATCAGGCGCCATAGGGGAGTGAGGGCCCCGGAGGTGTGACCGCATAGCTCTGCCACATACCTTACTGCAAGGCAGGTAGAAAACTTCTAAAAATGTGGATCATCCAGAAAGCAAAGAGCATAACTGGAGGTGCAAAGTCTGTGGGTCAGAAGCCCAACGCTGCCTCTGGCAGTCCTTTCTCCTCATTACATACCTAGGGCTCAGACTTTTGTGGAGTTCATTTCCTCAATATGAAGCTGTAGCACGCATTCTTCACTTTTAATGGTTGACATACCCTCCTGGACTCCAATGTTTAACACATTATAAAAAGTGCTGGCTGCTAATCACATATCGGTTTTCAACTTCAATGGGGCCAGTTTACAGTTCATTCTGATAGGATGTCATGAGTACTCCCCAGAGGGCTATGCAGGAAGTGGCAGCATTGATTATGCAAATATTCCCCATTCTTGTGGATTAGTAAAGAGTGACACACATCAGCAGGAAGTAGCATACCTGTTACTGCAGAACCAATGCAGTTTGGGCTTCCCAGCTTAGATATGTGGATCGCAAAGTTGCAATTTGCATAATAGTTTGAATGATCTTCTGCCATGCACATGACAATCCCCAGGCCTGCTGATAAGTCATGCTGACACCAGGCAATGCTTTGTGGGATTGGAGGAGAATGGTGAGCCCAGGTTCTACCACCAGGGAGTGAAGAAAGCGGTGGAAGTTCTGGACTGCATTGATGGTGACACAGGTATGAATGGGCCCTAATGCTGGCAATACAATGCTTGGATTTTGGCCGAGTACTGCTGACTGAAGTTTGCGCAGTGTGTGGATCGGACGGCACCCCAACATTCGACAAAAGTTGGTTTTGAAAAGTCTTGGCCAGTGACTGCAACTAATCATCTGTACTCGCTGTTCAGGCATTCTGACAGTGGCGGGAGCAATGGTGCTGCCCTGGCAGTGCGAGGGTTAACTACTCTTTATGCCTTGGGGGATGGAAAGAGCTGTTTTACTTACCTGATCCCTTCTCTTCTGGAGGTCGGTGCTCTTCTTTCCCTCTGCTCTGGCTGTGGACTGTCCATGCAGGGCAATGGAGCCTGCATTGTACTTGATGACGTCAGCAGTCCTTAGATCATCGGAGCAAAGGCCAGTCTAGCAACCCAGAAGGAGCCGGCAGGAGCGGGGTTCAGGTAAGTAAAATAGCTTTTTCCTGCTCCCTAGACATAAATGAGCAGCTTACTCTTACAGTTACAGGCATGATAAGTCAGTGAATGGGGAAAGATCAGCTGCCTGGAGACAAGAGGTAATATTGGTGACCAGTCCTTTTACCCAGTACCCTGAAGCCTCTGCCCAACTGGACGCAACTCTGACGTCATCCCATACAATGCAGGACCAGCAGTCCTGCATTGTACTGGAGGTTGCCGAAGGCCCACCCGCATTGCGAAGCCTTGGAGAGAAGAGAAGAGCACCCATCGCTGGGGGAAGTGAGGGATAAGGTAAGTATATCCCCTTTATCATCATCCCCTATGCAAAACAACCTTTGCAATAGGGAGGGGGACCCACTTCAAGGGCAAAGGGGCAGGGAATGCCCCGACCACAACTTCTGATTGGATCAGGAGGAGGGGGTGGCAGTTAGTTTTATGTGGTCTTGGGCGAGCTGCGTTTGCACCAATCCCACCCTCATCGCTGTTCACAAGCCTACTCTATGGCCATTGGAAAGGCTATGTGGCAAGGGAAGTCAGCCGCGGATCTTCACTGGGTAGTAAAGCATCACTCGCCAGATTTGGGATGATAGTGGCATCCTTGTCGGTCAGACCAAGCTATCTTTCTTTATGTTTCTTCATCCCTGTCCTGCAATGAAAAAGGCCGCATGACCAAGGAACATTTATCATCCGACACCATGTGACCTTGACCCTCTACCTACAGAAAATGTCTATCCGGGTTTACGTTCAAGAGGGTTACTCTCACTTCCCGTCTTGCCGACAACCGTTTTGGCTGGACATTGTGCCTAGGGAACATCGACCACACGCCATACAGTGGCTGCACCAGAAATATAAAATCCTAGTTTAATTCAATAGGTGGATAAGAGATTTATTTTCAATATAATGCTTGTCTCAAATGTATATGCTGTAGTAAATAAATGCAGCTGTTTGATGTCCTGCTGAATCGAGTCGCTGCCCTTATTCCAATCTGTCACTGTCTCTTGGTTCTTACATTTGTTCTCTGCTTTCAGGCCATGATCCAGATCTCGTGGCTGTGTATTTAAGGTGAGGCTCCTAATCCTGCCCAGGTTATAGTTTTATCACCTTATTTGCTCATAACCCTACCACTGGTTGTTTATATTTTCTACAAAGTCATTTTGAAACGTTTGACCTATGCTGATCTGATTTGACAAATGCTGTTCTGTCCTTTATTGCAAATTGAGAACGCTGGGCCTGATTTGCATATTTTTGGTGCATTACCTCACATGCATATTAACGTGCATTGCAGTAAGGCAGCCCTCTGATTGCGAATGGGCTGCCAGCGTGCTTCAGCGGATCTTCTTAATTGCCGTTTCTTTTTCTAGGCTCCACAGCACAAACATGGTTCACGTCTCCAGGTTGTGGTGCTTTAGGAAGTGGTTATGTGCTCTGGGGTGCCATTCAAAATGAATAGCACGGAATCAAAGTTTTTACATGTTTCTTCAACACAAAAATGTAAATCCGGCCTCATTCGTCAGAATAGTCAGTGGCCCAAGTGCGTTAAGATGGGTATACACGGAGCAAATTCCAACTGATTTCTGAAAGGGGAACGTTACCCTTATCTTTGAAATTACAACAAATACACCGTTAGAAATGTTTAGTAATGACAGTCTACAAACACATACTTATGGATAATTGCTAGTGTTCTGTCGAAAGCTCCAACTCATCGAAATCTCCAACTACAGTTGCGGTGCGCACTGAATCTGAACCAAAACAGAAGCCAGTGGGAATGCCCCTGAGTCAAGCTTGACCACATTTCATGTTGCACCCTAAATATGAGTGGAACAGGAAATGTGGTCAAGGAGGTTGAACATGCTTTTTTTTCTATTTTGTGTAGCAATGTTTGTCACATGGAGATCCTGCCAGTGACCGCACTTCCAGTTGCAGTCCCTAATCCACTGCCTCGCAGCCTTTCTGATAGCCCTTATAAGACAACCCAATGGCCAACTGAAGGAGCTTGCACACCAGGTTGACCACGCTGCTGCTGCTGCTGCTGCTACAGTGTATTAGCATTGTTGGTCTGCAACATGAAGACCTTTTACTGGCAGGATCTCGGGGTAAGATACTTTGCAACAGATTTGCAAAAAAGGATTTGCTTAAGCACACTGTACACAATGACACATGATACCAAACATACTGCAAAATATATGTTGTGTTTACAAAGACTTTAAAGAAGAAGAAAAGTACTATTATATTGACCATTTATAAGAGCTGACTATGACAGAGTCTTGTGGCATTCTGGTACCTGAGATCTGGTATTGCGGTTATTTCTAGCCAGTAGTCATGGTATGCAGAGTCCAGTAACCCAGAATGTGCTAATTTCTGTTTACTTCACTCAGCCTAGTTAGGGCTTGTTCAGTTGAGCTACGCTGATCGACGCAGGCTCAACGCGGTCATCTGTTAACTGGCATTAGCCTGTTATCTGCTGACTTTGGGTGACAGGAGTTCATTAATGTTCTCCTGTTACCTAAAAGAGAAGTAAAGCCAGAAAAGAGATTTGTCTTTCCCACTCTGCACCCTGATCCTGCCCATTGTTTAAGACCTTTCCACCTTCCATCATTGTCAGGAAATGATGTGACCTTCTTTTTGTGTTGACCTACATTCGGACAAGAGAGTTCTGTTATCTAGAAGTCCTCCCATGCATCCTAGTGTCTGCCCACTGCTTAACCTTGGCACAAGTCCACTCATTTGTTTTTGTTTACATCTTCTTCTAAAGAAGGTTTCAAGCATCCATTGCATGTTGGTTAAGGGACGTGGTTATTTGTGTTCTTGTCTTCCAGGAATTTTCCGGGAAATCTCATAATTCCCACCTGGTTGTCTGTGTTTAGGTTTTATTTCCTTACCCGTCTTTTGTTTCTCCTTTTAATTATAGATTATTATTGAGCGGGGAGAGCAATGATTTCACATTTTTTTGGTGCTTTGGTTCCTTGTAGGAGAAAGTAATTATCTCTACTGCTCCTGTCCTGGAAAATTCATTGAAAGACATTTACTGTCAGGACCTGCAAAACCTTCCATTTTCTGCACCTAATCTCTGTGGAGGACTTGCAGCTATTGCCGGTGACAGTTCTGCTACCTGATAGGTTAGAGGTCAGACATGCTCTGGAACACAATTTATTTTTTCCTTGTTTTTGCCTCTTTGCAATATATATATATATATACATACATATACACACATATACATATATATACATATACACACATATACATATATACACATATACATACACACACATATATATATACATTATACTACTTTGGGCCCTGTGCCAAAAACAAGGAAAAAATATTAATTAGTATGTCTTCATTATAAATTCATTTGTAGCTGCTTAGTTTGTAATGCTGGAATTAATAGTTCTTTTTTTTTTTTTTTTTCTTACTACAGGATTTCAGTGGTTCCCACCCCTTGGAAGGGGCTGGTTCTGGGAGCTTGGACAGAGTAGCTTTTATCAGCAGGAAAAATGCCCATTCCTCCTCCTCCGGGGCCTCCCCCTCCCCCAACTTTTTCACAGGTAAGGGAATTTTAAAGGGAATCTTTAGTCTACTTACAGCTCTTTTTCAATATGAACACAAATGTGACTGATTTAATGTAAACAGCTTTAAAGCCCAACTCAGGCCGCCTATGTCTTTATTGGAGAGATTTCCCCTCACTTCCTGGGAATGGGAGATTTTCGCTGCATCTTACTGTACCCTGACCGCAAGAACGTTCTGATGCTGATCTATTACTAAATCGGAAAGTAGTGTTAATTTCGACAGCAAATTGCCATTTAGTTTTAGTCCTATTTTAATCATCTGAATTGTTTTAGTCTAGTTTTAGTAGACTAAAGTTTCAGTAGATTTAGTCTACTAAAATCTAGTGGGTTTAGTTAAAGAGTAATTTAAGAATTTCTCTACAATTCCTTATCTCATTATAACTCATGGAGTACACATCTGTTAGCCTGTATTAAGGTTTGAACATGCAATACAGACACAGATTTAACTGTTGTGATATATAGCATGTCTTTTATTTAAAATGTATTTTAAAATTTTAATGAAACCAAGTCTTATATAGAAACAATATTAAGTATTTTCAAAAAAGGACCAGTAATTAGATATGCATGGATTATAACAACTTGCATATGACATGCTTTATTCTTTAAAGCAGAAGTGCAACTCTAAAATATTAAAATGATAAACTATATTGGCTGTAATGCCATTGCACATATTACCTATTAGCCGTCTATTCAGGTAGTCCAAAGAGTTTAGTTCTGATTGGATCTCTTCCCAAATCGTCTCTCCCTAACATTTTAGTCTAGTTTTATTTTTGTTCTAGTTTTAGTCATCATAACTTTTTTTTTTTTAGTTTGTCACTGAAAAAGTGTCATTGACAAAAACTATGACAAAAATGATTAGTCGGCGAAATGAACACTGTCAGAAAGAGAGCAAATAGGGGCTGAATTACTGGTATAGTTACTCACTTCACATTATGTACCGAATGTGAGGCCTAATTTATCAGGGGGTGTCACCTTCCACAGATAAGTGCTTGGCTCTCCTCCAGGGACAGTTCATTTCTGTATTTCCACACCTTGCTTCCTGTCTGGTCATGATATTGCATACTTCAGTGCACAGAAAGGTATGAATCAATATAGGTAAATTCTAGTTTTTTTGATCGGTTACATCCTGCTGGAAGTCGTAGCTATGTGTTTCACAAAGCCGATACATAAATAGAAAAAGAGGGACGTGTCATTGTTGCTTAGAGAAAGCAGTCCTATTCTTCCAGCCATCCAGTTTTAACTTGTGCTGGGGACATTAGTCTGGTTGGTTGCTCTTGGCAGGATACACATTTACAATAGTTATAAATCATCTGAATGGTTTTATTTTCTGTCCCCCAGGCTAATATCGAGCCTCCGAAACTGAACCGCGATGAGCAACGGGGACGAGGGGCTCTTCTAAATGACATCTGCAAAGGAGCAAATCTGAAGAAAACATCTGGGGTCCAAGATAGAAGTGCCCCTGTGTTAGACAGTATGTATGATAGAAGAATTGTTGACAGTGGGACATTAACCAAGTACCAGCCAGTATAAACACCTTCATCATCAGGCTATTTTTCAGTTTTCAATGCTGAAAGTTTGACTAACAATTATGTAACACTGTACCCAAATAGATTATATATCATTTGTGAGACCAAGCTTTCTTTTGATGGTATTTAAAGGAGAATTATGAGGCGAGTGATTTTCACTCAGCCTCATAATCTGAGCTGACCTGTGACAATGAAACTGTCGCAGGTCGGCTTAGTAGATCGGGAAGTGAGCGAACACATACCGTCGCTCGCTCAGTTCTCGATCTATCCATGCAGAGAGCCGTGACTGTCACTCACGACTCCCTGCAAGGATTCCCCCTCCCCTGTCCGATCCTCCAGCGCTGACTGGCAGAACGCATGGGGGAGGGGGCGGGCACAGCTGGCTCTGCTTCTAGATAGGCAGAGCCAGCTGTCACTCACGCAGCTGGGTGGATCCAGACAGCATTGTCGGGATCCGTTCCGGCTGCGGCGTCTCAATATACCGCGAGCTGTAGCTTGCGGTATACTGAGCTTTGGTCACGGGAGGATGCTAGTTTGTGTCCTCCCGTTACCCTAAGGAGAACTATGGGGAAAAGCACTGACCCCATAGTTCTCCTGTAATAAAAAATTTTTAGTATATAAAGGAGGGAAAAAGACCAAAAATTTTGATGGGGGGGGGTGGGAAACAAAACCTGATGTTCTGACTGCCGACTACGTTTCTTGAGGTCCTAAAATGCTACCATAATTGTTTTGATTAGGACCATGGTTCTCAACTGGTGGGTAGTGACCCCGTGTTCAGGGGGTCGCAGTGTGCCTTCCACTGCACTAGGTGAGAGGCTCCTTAGCCTCCCCCTAGCGCAGCACTGTCAGTTCTTGGGCCGAGCAGCCATTCAAAATATGCTGCCCGGCACCGAATGTCAGCGTGGGGTGGGCTGGGGGTATGGCTGCGAGCGAGCTCCATCCATATGTGCATTACTTACCGCTCCCTCGTGTGCTCTGTAGAGGTGGCTTGACCGGAGTGACATCTTATTCTGGCTCCCGGCACCTCTACAGGGCATGCAAGTGAGCTGTGCAAGCAGTGCACGTATGGATGCAGCTACAGCACAGCAGCCCACACTGGACCCCATGCTGAGGATCCACTCTAGTACTGGTAAGGTAGAGAGACTGGGTGGATCTTAAAAAAAAAAAAAATTATACAAAAATGTAAATCTTTTTTTGGTGTGTTTTTTTTTTTTTAGGGCCCATTTACACTAGTACAGTGTGTTAATCCCAAAAGTCCCATGCGATTAATGCACTGAACCACACAATGGCATCTACCGCGCGTTCTGTTGTGGGAGATGCGTTGCATTGCCATTCACTCGAATGGCACCCCAAACACACCTCCTGCCCACAGTTTGATCGCCCGGACAGGAACACGTGGTACCATGCCGTGTGTCCCATCGCGGTGCGACTTAGGTTGTTAGTTAATGACCCAGGACAAATTTCTGAGGTTACACAGGTTGAGAACCACTGGTTTAGGACCTGGCATAAACAGTGCCACAGTGGAAGGGTCAGGACTAAATGTGCAGAACAGCTTGCAGATTTCAGTGGTCTGCGATCACTGGCACACTTATGGCATTAGTCAGTGGTGAGTGCCCCTTTAAAGCTCAACTCTGGCCAAAAACAATGTTTGGACATTTGCACTGGGAAAATAAAAGGGCACTAATGATATGTGTTGGTAGCAGCATTCTGTAAAACTCTTAGACCCCTTTCACATGGGCCTGTCAGGTTTTTGTGGCAGACACAAACGGATGCCCAATGTTGGTCTATGGGCAGCCGTATGTAAACGGACAAGCGCCTGTTTACACCCGATTACCATCGACTCTGCCCAGGTCCATGAAAACTAACGGTTTAGAGATTTGATTCTCCGGACCCGAACGTGCCGGATCAGTTTGGTCTGATGTAAACTGACACATGTCCGCTTACATCCAATTGCATCCGTGGCTTAGACTGACATGGGGTCCAGCAATTTCAGTTCTTTCCTTCATCGCAAGGTGGCGGGAAAAAAACTGTACAGACAATGATGTCACAGTGTGACATCCACTCTATATTGCTCTGATCAGGAGGAGATCTGTGCACGGATCCCCTCTGTATCAGCCCATGTGGAATGGGCCTTACTTTAATTTATTCCTTACTGTATATAGTAAGCAACGAAGTCCAGCGCTGAGACTTACAGATGCAGCTGAAGTACACAAATAATAGCAGGTTGTTCGCTCATTCATTGAGAAAACCTCTTGCGTTCTTTTCACAGTATGAAGAGCATTATGTGATTGGAGGAGGGTAAATTGGGATGTTTCACCTGCACCTCCTCCATTCACAGAACATTGTTGCATTCCATAAAAAGAATGCAAGACGTTATCTCAATGAACAAGCTGCAAAGCAAGTGACCTGCATTTTTTTTTTATTTTTTTTTTTTATCCCCTGCCACAAAGCTCTGTCTCATTTACAGGTCATGAGACCTCTGACAGCTTAATGGCCCAAACCACATAGCTAGAAGCACCCAAAAAATTGCTAAGAACAAAACAGACTATGCTGAAGTAGCCATCTATGATCCCTGATCCCATCCAACAAGTATGGAAAGAGCTGGAACATGCACTCTGGAGAAGGAACCCTTTAAACCGAAGATAGCTGGAGCAATTTGCTCAATGATGGTGTTGCCTACTTGATTTTAGCACAAAGTGGCATTTCAGATTCTTAGAGTGATGAAAGTTTTTTTTTTTCATGGTTTTACTCTAGTTGTGGTACTGTATAATTAACTTAAGTTGTTTTTGCAGAACCTAAAGGTGCAGGGGTGGGTTCTGGTCTTGGACCCGCGCTTGGAGGAGCAATGCAGCCCAGAGGACCCATCTTCCAAGGGGGAGTGCCTAGACTTCGGCCAGTGGGAACCAAGGAACCTGGTAAGAAGGGTTTTTTTTTTTTCTCATTTAAGAAGATCTGCAGCACATTTTAAGGCCTGGTTCACACCTGGGCGTTTTGTAGCGCGTTCGAACGCTCTGCAAAACGCTCAAACACCGAAATCCCATTATTTCCTATGGGTATGGTTCACACCTGGGGCGTATTACAAGCCGTATCAACGCTATCAGTGGATACCACCGCCTGTGTAAGGGAGTTTCACAACTCTCGCAGTAAAAAAACTCCCCACCAAATTCTAAGATTGAACCCCATTTCTTCCAACCTCCTGTTGTGTCACCGTGTTCTCAATACAGTTTTCGGATTAAACCCTTGTTCTGAATATTTTGGTCTCCATTGATGATTTTGAAGACTGCAGTAAGGTCCCCTCTTATTCGCCTCCTTTTTTTTTTTTTTTTTAAGGTGAATAAGTTTAAATTTTAAAGGCTGTCTTCATAACTCGGACCTTCTATCCCTTTTAATTTTGTAGTCCTTCGCTGAACTATCTCCAGCTTGTGGACATCCTTCCTGAGAGTTGGTGACCCAAACTGCACCACTTTAGTACCCTCAGATGTAACCCGTCAGGTCCTGACAGGGTTTTTTTTTATGCACCCTCCTCCCTCTTTTAGTGTGACCATCCTGTGAGGGCTCTCTCATTTCATTGACGTTTTGCTGCGAGCTTGTTTGGCTGATCTCCTCCTCTTATTATGGTACCATCGTTTCCCTGGATTGGAAAGATTAGGATTAGGAGTCTTGAATCACCTGGTCCCTTGGTCATGGCAGTTCTCCTGTCGTTCTAGGGTTCTCCACAACTGGTTCAGATTCGGGTGCTGGTCTTTTAGGTACCTTTTGTGTTCCAGACTGTTCTCAGTATTTTAGGTCTGTCGGTGGCTGTTGCCCATACCTCAGTTGAACTGCTTTTGGATGTTCCCACTGTATTCCTGTGTCCCTTAAAGTGACATTAAACCCTCAGATTTTTTTTACATAAACCAATACTGTAATGTGTACCTTACTGTAATCCATGATAGTTTCCCTTCTCTTTGCTGCTCTCCCTTTTTAAATCCTCATATCTTCTCATGCTTGGGGAGAACTTCCCTTTTCAGCTCAGGGCCTCTTCCTGTAGTGCTGGCTCTGGTTACAAGCCTATACAAACTTATACACAGACACCGTGTATCCATTCCAGAGACAAGGCAGTCTGCTGCAAAACAGAAGTTCTGCCCAGCATGAGAACAGATACAGATTTAAAAGGAAGAGCAGCAAAGAGAAGGGAAACAACCATGGATTACAGTAAGGCGCACATTACAGTATTGTTTTATGTTAAAAAATCTGAGGGTTTAATGTCACTTTAATGGATGTTGAAGCATCCGCCTTCAATAATGCGGACTGAAACTTGCTGAAAGCTTTGCAATTTTGTCAATTAGATGTACAAATATGTCTTTCACGTACTGAAGCCCGTATGTACAAGGCCTTAGTGTTAGAGTATAAAACATACTAGATCGTCATATTTATAGATAAAATTCTGGAAGTAGGGGGGAAAAATAAAAAAAGTACTGGGAGGTAGGGGCCTTTGGCAAGTGAGACACCTGCAATCTCTACTGCCAAAAAAGATTCTTCCTCTCTCTGTCCCCCAGGCGATTTTATTTTTGTGTACACTGTATGGCGCATACTTGCACTGCATCATATTCTTTGATATAAAGCAAATTAAAAACTGTTGGCTTAGCCTGCGGTTGTTTTACTTGTAGTATTCATGGAGTAAACACTTTGACATACCCATATCCACTGGTGGGTGAGCTTACAAATGTGTATATATAAAACTCGATCAAGGAAACTGTGACTCTGAAAGTATGAATAACCTAGGGTCAGAGGAAAGTTTGAAGTTATGATCTGCATGTGTCTTCCTGATCAGTGACTCAAGAAGTATAAAAGTGTTGGATCAACATAGCAGCCAAGACAATAGCTTTATCTGCTGGAAAGTTTAGCAGTGATGTGCTAAAGTATCTTCTCAAAAAAATGTTTTTCTAACAGTTAGCAGTCTGTGTAATGCACCACTACAGACAAGTGTTTACTTTTTGCCATTTATTATTTATTTTCAGAAGGTCCATCGGGTCGATCTCCTCTTCAAGGCTCCTCTGCACGAGCTGCTGCTCCTCGCCCTCCAGTTGCAGGAGGTAGACCGCAGGATGACTCTGACAGTGGCAGCAATCGATCCTCGCCACCAGACGTTGGCCGAGCACACAGACCGTCCCTGCCTGATCTCACGCGACCCCCTAGCACGACCAGTCCTGGCATGAAGCACAGTTCTTCTGCTCCTCCTCCACCACCTCCTCCTGGACGACGACAAACAGGACCTGCTCCTCCTCCTCCACAGGACACCAAACCATACAATAGGGACAAGCCCTTGCCGCCAACCCCAGGACATCGTGCCCCTGCTGCTCCTCCAGTAAAGCCTCCACCTTCTCCTGTCAATATGCGGGCCCCTTCTTCTCAGGGACAGCCTCCTCCACCACCACCTTACAGGCAACCACTTACTTCTGTCAATGGACCTCCCAGTCCAATAAATGACCAGGCACCAGAACTACCACAGAGGCACAACTCACTTCATCGGAAACAGCCTGCTCCAGGAAGAAATTTGGCTCCCCCTCCTCCTCCTTCAGCCAACCTTTCTCCAGGTGGTAATAGACCACCACCTCCAAATAGAGATCCCCCAGGGAGAGGACCAGGTAAGACTTTCCATAAGTATAAGTCTATATTTAAGCAAAGCTAAAGTCCGCATCAGGTAGGTGGGCTCTTGCCAAAAAGTGCAGGTATGTGCTATCGCTTTATATTAAAGGTATAAAACAGCCATATGTCAACAGCAGTTGCATAACCAAGTACACAACAAAGTGCTGAAAAAAGAAAAAACTGCCTGGATAGTTTGTAACATTGTCTAAGTAACTGGGCTTTTATGGGAACAAAAGTATGCAAATAAATTATAAAATGCATATAATGAAAGAGAAGGTGTGGAAACTGAGTGATGTAAAGTAGGGGTGAGGTGTTTGGTTTAGAGAGTGATGGGGGGGATATGAAAAGTTTGAGCATTAGGGTATTTGAATAGCAATAAAATATCTTAGGGAAATTATTTATTTTCATTCTATAACCTCTCTCTATGCTAAGAAGGTTTTGACGTTGGTACCAGGACTGTTCAAATTTGGGGGCACTATCTCGCAGGGTGTGGGTAATCTCCATCAGGCAGACATGTTCTGTTTTACGAAACCAGTACTTAGGCCTCATTCACACGAGAAAAGGCCGGCACTTACAGCTCTGTGCTGCGTGCAGGGCCGTATCGGGCAGCTCCTGGGAAGGACAGGTGCTTCGTGTGATTAGTACGTAGCCCCTGTCCTTCTCTATGGGAGTACGCGGCCATACGCCGCCCTATGCTCACCTGCCCTGCACGCCCGTGCGGGTGTCCCTACTCGTATGCTGACAGGAGGGATCCTGTCTGCGTCCGAGCCGGGACACCTGCACCCATATGGGCCTGCACTTGGGGTGAGCGTAGGGCGGCGTATGGCCGTGTACTCCTATAGAGAAGGACAGGGGCTGCGTACTAATCGCACGGAGCTGTACGTGCCGGCCTTTTCTCGTGTGAATGAGGCGTTGATCGACGGAACGGTGGTAGTGTTCTAGTATAAGTGTATTAATATTTTAGCTGCATTTAATAACTGGGGTAGTACTGACCATTTGACCATTTGTAGTGAGTAGTGGGGAGGCCCAAGCAGTGAAATAAATTGGTCAAAGGGTCTATTGGTAAATAATTTCCTGTTATAATACAGATATAGCTTGCATCCTTAGCCCAGAAGTGGTGGTCAGGTGGCAATGCCACCAAAGATGATTCAAAGTTCCTTCCAAGTCACGCCCCCTCCATAATTTTGAGGAATGTGATATAAACATATAGTAAAAAGTAGAAATCACAAGCACTCAACCTGTAAGCGTGAAATGTTTATTTTATGAACACCATGTCACATGTGTCATCAAGCCAACTTTTCGGGGGCCGCGTAGGGTCTCTTCTTCAGGGGGACATAGTGACAACAAGGCCAGTGCAACATCAACCTTTTTATAATGGCAAAATACACCAAAAGAAGGGGACGCGGCCATGCAGGCTCATGAGCACTGCCATTAATCTCACCTTTTTAAGAAACATTATTTTTTCTGCAATCTGCCAAAGATGGAAGATGCATTTGGGAATTGTCAGTATTATTTCCTATTGGTTATTTAATGTTCTGCCCATGTGTTTTGTTTACATTATGGCAGGATTTGAAGTCCTTATGAGGTCATGGGCTGGTGCTGCGTTCATTTGGTATATTTTGCTACTATACAAGGTTGATGTTGCACTGCCTTGTCGTCACTGTCGCCTTGAAGAAGGGATCCTGCGTGGCCCCGAAACATTGGCTTGATGATGCATGTGACATGATGTGTTAATAAAAGCGGTGATATTTCACGCTTTCAAGTCGAGTGCTGGTGATTTCTACTTTTGGCGATTTCTGCAGGTCAGCACGTTATACGGAGTGCAGGTGACTCACCATCATACTAGAAAAACAAATGGCTCACCCTAACAGGATACTATCTAGATATCAAACTTTATATACTTTAGCATAATATATTTCTGCTAGAGGAAGTGTTTGCAGCACCATTTTTGATTTGATTTTTTTTTTTTTGCTCCTCCTTGAAGTGTGTGAAATTCCTCTGTGAGCTCATTCAGGTACTGCTCTTGATGGGTTTCTCAGACCCTCAACAGCAGATTAGGTGGTCACAGTCCTGTGATCACAGCAAGAGCTGATCACTGTGATCGCAAAGCCTGTGTGTTACAAAAGTGATGCAAGGTATCTCTGAGGAGAATACTGTATTCTCCTCAGAGATGCTAAGTATCAAAGCCCCTGTAAATAAAAAAAATAACCCCTTAGTGCCCCCTAGTTAAAAATAAAATTAAAAAAGGGAGAAAAAGCTTAAAGAAAATACGTTTTAATAAAAACATAAGAAAATATAGTGCCGAGGAGGCTATTAAAGATTTAGGAGACACACATACTACATTATAAAATTATTCCACACTAAAATTGTATTTCACTCCATGTATTTTGTGACGTAACTCCCACAATTACCTGAAATCCCAGACATATGATATACCCTAAAAAACAGGACAAATAAAATAATTTATTATGAATTACTTTCTGTAAGCTACACTAATTATGTACACATTATTATTCTTATTGCCAAAGCTGAGAAAAATGTGGGTCCTTTTCGCAATTTTTGTTTTGCATTTTTAATGAGAAAAAATAATTTATACATGCATATGGCATGTCAAATTAAAGCCCCTTTTGTTATTTACAAAATGGTATATAATATGTGTATGTGCAATACATAGGGAAGATATAAAATATGGTTAAACAAAAACGTAGGAAAAATGGCAAAATTGCTCCGGTCCCCAGAAGCGAAAACATTTTCTGAAGCTGTGTCACTAGGAGGTTAAGAGAGGCATATGGATCGCACTGAATAAGTCCCGTTATCTGAGGGGTGAGGTAGATGTCCAGGTATATTTAACCTGAAAATGGGGGTAAGTATTTTAGACTTTCTACTTCTGCTCTGGAGGATGTAATATTCAACTAAAGTTGATTTTAAACTTGGCTATCCTGCCAAGTCTTCTACGCAGAACCGTTAAAGAGATCAGTGGTCTCTGTAGGAGAATGTTGTGGACATATACTAGGCTGCTAACTTGTGCTAGTGGCCATCCACATCAACCCCTTTTGTATCCGGGTTGTTTCTAAGTGTAGTCAGAAGAGGCTCCAGGTAGAGGACTAATAGGAGGAGTGATAGGAAGGGTGACAGGCAGCAACCCTGCCAGGGTGCAGGCTTAAAAAGGGAGAGAGAAAGCCGTTAATTGTGGATCTAGGCCAATGTGCTTAGTCGAGTCTATCAAATGCTTTTACAGCATCTGAAGGGTAGAGCTTTGGTGAGCATTGGCATAGTGTATGAGAAAAATTGCTCTCAGGGTATTGTCCCTGGCTTTCCTACTACAGACCAATCCCATTTGATCAGCCATAGTTAGTTGCAGGAGCAAAGACTGTAGTCTGTTGGCAAGGACTTTTTAGTACTATTTGATTTTGTTGTACCGGTATGTTCTTATTAGATATGCAAGCATTGCTTCTTAAGTAGTGCTGTACAGTGTACCTCTCTGCAAGGATTATGTTTAGCAGAGACTTTAACTAAATGCCTGATATACAGCTAGAGGGGGAATCTGTTTGTTTGTAATTCATTATTGAAATTATAGTACAGTAAGCAGGTAAAATTTTCAGTGCCCGTTCCCACCCAATGCATTGGGGCTGCGAGGGATTTTTTACCAGTGCAGCCGCAATACAGGACAAGGCAATGTGCCTTGTTCCAGATGGGCTCAGTGTTTCTGGTGTTTCTAATGTACGCCATGCATTACTTTTTTTTTCAGCGCAGTGCGACATGGGATAAGTTCTAAAGATATAAAGGAAACCATGCAATGCTTCATGATCAGCACATCAGGACTGTGCCGGGCAGGCACAGTTTCTCTTTTATAGCTGACTTTTTTTTCAGTTGTATATTGCATCACACCCTCTATTTAGTAATACTAATAAATCTCTCCTGACTAATGAAATGCTTGTGTTATGTAAGGACAGGTGTTTTGTAAGGACAGGAAGATCATTAAGAAGCATTTTATTTCCTGCTATTTTTTATTTTATTTTTACAGCTGTGCATATCATCTTGTCATTTGTGAAGACAGTTTTTTTTATTTTTATTATTATTATGTTGACTCTTGAAATGATTACCTGGCTCTCCTTTTTTTTTCTTAGGCTTCATTCCTATAATTTTTTTTATTTTATATGAAAAATGGTACTGTTGGATATTAAGGCATGTCAGGAATGTATTGCATGCAAACTTAAAGCAACCGAGTTACGGGTAGGTCCACCTTAACCTTTAATCTTTCTTTTGCAGCTCCTCCTCCGCCACCACCTATAGTTCGAAATGGTGGTCGCGATCCGCCCCCTCCTCCTCCTCCCTACAGAATGCATGGGGCAAGTGAAGCCACTCCGAACCGGGTCAAGCCACCCCCACCTCCATCTCGAACTCCTTCTGGACCTCCTCCACCTCCTCCTCCTGTCAGAAATGGACACCGGGACTCAATTCTTGTTGGCAGGTCTTTTGCTGGTAAGTTTCTTTAGTCACATCCGTGTGTGGCAAATATCACAGTGTGCATAAACGCACGCAACTAAGTGCGGTTTAGCGAGACACATGTCAGTTTAGATCAGATTACCCCCCGATCCGCCATCGAAAAAATCGCACAGTGTGAATGGGGCCTTAGAATACTCAGCATTTCCCTGGATTGCTCTGGAAGAATGCTGATGTCACCCTTGTGTAGGCAAGAAGGGTAAGGTGAGTATATTTGATAACTTTTTCCCCTATAGGGTTGTTTTCCGGAAGGAGGGGGCCCTGTTTTTTTTAATTTTTTTTTTTAAGTGGACTTACTTTACTTGTAGTGCAACATGCACTTAAATGCATGTAAATTCCTCTCATTTTACGTCATCCGTGCCTCATTGACATTTTTGTGTTGTAGCACAGGGCACCTTCTTTATTAGGAAGGTGTTTCCTCACTTCCTGTCCCGGAGATGCCAGGAAAAGAAATAGGGGAAGAGTTTGTCCCCTGGACAGTAATAACATGGTCATATGTTCTAACCCTTCCCCGCGCTTATAAAATGTGCTTTTTTTGTTTTTTTTGTCTGCATTCTCATGGTGGAAATTTACAATCAATTCCTGTCTTGGGGGGGAGCTTGTAAAATCATGAACATTAATGCACGTTTTAAATATGCAGATTAACTGATCTGTAGAGGTGTGAAAAGGCCCTTTTGTAGCACCAAAACATATGAAGCAGTGTTACTGCATGTGCGTAGTTGTGATAGGGCCTTAGACTGGTTGGGGAATGCCGCAATCCAGCAGCCAAAAGTATTTCACTTAAAGGAGAACTATGGGGTTAAGGCTTTTCCCCATAGTTCTCAGGGTAACGGGAGGACACAAACTAGCGTCCTCCCGTCACCCTAGGCTCAGTATACCGCGAGCTGTATAATGCATTCTTGAATAAATGTGTTTTAAATCCTAGATTGTCATTATCTGTAAAAAATAAATTATGACAACTGGACTTGCTGTCTCTTTCTTGAAGACGTTTCACTGATCATCCGACAAGCTTTCTTAATTCAGAAGACCAGCAAAACGTCTTCAAGATAAATACAGCAAGTCCATTTGCCTTGATTTTTTTTTTTTTTTTTACAGATATACCATGACCTGGATGAATGAAAACCTTCACAGACTAGATTGTTTGGTCTTTTTTAAGTGTTGTGCACTATTATATTTGACCCTAAGGTATTCTAATACCTAGGAGAGGAGGCGTGTGATAAAATAATTGGTAATGAGTGACTTTTATAACCTACCTTAACATTAACTTTTATGTATTGCAGATGACTTTGAGTCAAAATACACCTTCCATTCAGTTGATGACTTTCCTGCTCCAGAGGACTATAGACCTTTCCAGAAAATCTACCCCAGCAAATCGATCAGAAGTGAGAAAATAGTTGTTGTGAACAAATTGACATCGTCTTTCACCCAGGCAGATAGTTACATAGTTCTTCATTTTCCTTGCCCTTCTGAATTGCTGACATCGCATAGGTAGCTTCAAGCTGCTGCACTTCATTTCTCTCTTAATCGTGTGTTTGGGAATATACGTCAGTCAAGAGTGAACTCTAGTTTCATCATCATTTCTTACTTTGTGCTTTTTATCTTGTGGCAGTGTTGGCTTTTTATAGTTAATAATGGCCACTCTGCTTCTTATTTAAGCAAGATTTCTACTAGGGATGCACTGAAATTTTGGGGGAAAATAGTACTATGGGCAACAATACAAAAAGGCCAAAAATGCAGTGCATTCCCAGCTTCTCCTCCCTGCTGGGCACTAGCTGCAAACTTTGACTTTGTGTCCCCTCTGATTCCCCATTTCTCTACTTTGCCTGTGTCGGCAGATGCAGCGGGGATCGGAGGGGAGACAGAGCCGATCCAGCTGCTGGCTCCCAGCAGGTAGGAGAAAGCGGTCAGGCCGAGCAGGGCAGAAAGCTTCGTCAGTAGGAGGCAAAGCTTCGGGATTGGTAAATATGTTAAATATTTACAGAACCTTCGAACACAGAATGGTCAGGACTGATCACTTAGTGTTTATAAATAACTGAGGACATAGTGATTACTATGTCCCCAGTTATGAATGAATAGGAAGTGCTATACATCACTTCCTGTTCATATATGAATGGGGACATAGTAAATATGTATTCTCTGCTCACTTTATGAATGAAGAGGAAGCAGCTCAGTACAGAGGCTTCCTGTCCATTCATGACTGGGTTGATAGTAAATATTTACATGGGGATGCATGGGAACAGCAACCATCGGACCAGAAGTCATGATTCATCACTCTATTTCCCTAGTGTTTACATATAGATCTTTGTAATATGTGAAGGGTCATATAGTTTAGGATTTCAGGCATTCATAATTTATGTATGATGGGTGTTCTGCCAATTAGACAAATCTACTGTCATATGTCCTGGACATCAAAAAAGTAGCAGTTTGCCTGGTTTTCAATTCAGTTCATTCATCACTTCTGACAAGGGGCTTCCAGTAGGTAGTTTGTGTCCTTTCAATCTGTTTAAATGCAAATTGTAATCTCTTATTTACCCATCCTAATTTTGCCTTTCAGCAATCCGTGGTGCTCCTCCCCTGCCTCCCATCCCGAGGTGAGACCATGTCGTCAGTCTGCTGCCTGGACGGTTTATCCCAGCCCCCCCTCCTCACCTGCCTCCTCACACCTTGCAGAAAGGGGCCGCTCTCGCATGAAAACATTTGTGAACAAAACGAAATTGGGTCTCTCCCCCCCGCTGCCTGTCTATGCATTCCACATCCTTGCCTCGGGCACAGCCTTCTTCGCTTCTTGCACGGGGAGGGGGTTAATGTATGGTCTCATCTCCTGGGTGCAAACCAGGGAACTGCATCCAGCACTGCTTTCCGTCTTATCCACATCAAAATTAACGGATCCTCCCTTTCGCAAATGCCACGTCAAACTGAATTTTATATGTCCATAGGAAGAGGGCTCCAAAATGTAGAAGGAACAATGAATATATACTGAGGAATACACTACAGAGAGGACACACGGCCAGGACAGATCTACATCCTCTGTTTCTGGTCTTTGCCTCCCACAAAGCACTTTCTGACTGTTACCCAAATACGATGGGCAGATCCATTAGCAGGCTCCTTGGGGGAACTGCGGAGCCTGACTCAAGTCGGTGGAACTTAGACTCGGGATGTGGGCTTAAAATGGTTGCCACTGGGCAGCTGGGAGACTGTATTGTCCATATCGCAGCATATGGCAACAATAAACATTCATGCAGGGTGGCTGGAGAAGACGCAAGAAAATAGGAGGAAAGTGCCAGATTTGACCGATTCTTTGAATTGTGGCATGATATTAGTGCGGGTTGTTTGTGTGTAATAAGGTGACGGGAACAAACTTTCTGGAGGGTAATTTACATGGCTTTCTATGCAGATGAGAGGAGGGTTTTTCATAAGTGGTGTTTTCTTTTTAAGGTCACTGGATCTCTTGTCCAACACTTTTTTTCTTTTGGTCTTCGATGACCATACTCAAATCCGTAAATATTGTTTTTTGGGTTTTTTTTTGCCATATCTTAGTTCTCCAGCCCATTTTAAATCGCGGAGCTCCATTTTAAACCTCTTGTGTGTCTTGTCAATATCTGTTAATGGTCCCTTGTTACTACATGACCGTGACCTACTTTATCACTTTAGCCAATAATGATTTTACAGGTAACTGTTTACCAGCCGTAGGCATCAGGAATGCTCTCTGGCTACCAGTCTCCTGTCTGGACACTTTTAGGTTGACTAGATGATATTTGTTATTAAAGGGCCATCCTTGGGCCCATAGATGTTTCATAATGTAGATGGCACAGCACATTCGGCACAGTGCGGCGATTCTCTGAATTAACTCTCAACCGTTATCTACTGTCATTTTCTGTTGCAGCAGGTATTATGTATATTATGTATAGCAACGTCGGCAACACTATAGGCTGCAGCATGTTCATGACTGCCAACACCCCCCACTGCTGCTTGGATTTGCAGGAATTAATTTGCCTTATAGTGGGAGCACATCTTAAACACTTGCAGCTCATAGGCCAGGCTCTTGGGATAGCCTCCAGCCCCATCTAGCGGTGTAATGCGGGTCTGTCTGCATTGCTAAACATAGGTCACCTTGTTTACTCCGACTTGGTTGAGTGAGGAGAAGTACATTAGAAAAATAGGAGCACAAAGCTGTCTATTCTCAGGATTTTGGAATTTTGTCTTGCAGGGTTGCCTGGTTGAATGACACTATTTTTTTATTTTTTTTTAAAGCAATTTGCCCTTTGTGTCTGACACAGACTTTTTCTATTAAAGATGATCTGTCACAAAGCAAAATATGTATCTAAGAATGAGTTTCTGATGGAAGCAACCATTTTGTGACTCCTAGGCTGCATTGGAATTCTGGAGTAGCGACTTAAAGGACAACTGCACCACTAAAGAAGTACTTGCCAATGAATCAGACTGTCATGAGAAAAATCAAGACACAACCATTGCTTCCTTCCGAAAGGTTGCCTGGCTGTCATACTGGCCCACTGCTGTCAGTGAGATACACTGATCTGGAACAAGCATGCAGCAATGTGAAGTCAGGGAAAACCAGAAGTCATTTTCTGTATGGTTGTGTTGGGTCAGTTGCCAGATGTATTCAGTTGCCAGATGTATTCATCAAGAAGGGTGAGCTTGACAGCCAGCCTTTTCAGACGGGAACCTCCATGTGTCCCTCCTTGAACATTAGAAAATGTTTCTTTTGTGGCATATCCATGAGGCCAGAGGTAACTGGAGCCATTGTTATGTTTTGAGTCAGTTCTCCTCAATCCAGTCCACCTATTGGGATACAGGGAGGTACGTCACAGACCAGACCTCCCCATGTCCTACTGCACAATACGGGTGGGCAGGAGTGATGAGAAGGATGCTGCAGCGCTGTATTAAAGAGCTCTAGATGCCATGGTCTGGCTCCAAACTGACGCTTCTGTCACATCAGATGTTTTCTAATGCGTACACATGAGCTTTGTGTGCTTGCCTGTTAAATTGGGGGCAAAAAGGGCAGTTATCCTTTAACCTGCATTGAAACCTAAGTGCATATCCTGAGTCACCTGATGCACCCCAAATTAGAGAATGGTTTCAGGATTTTGCTTTCTGACAGATACCACTTTAAAGCATAAGTAAAGGTCATTGTAATGTCCTATTTGGATATACTTCAATCATGTGTTGTACGCAGTGGAACATTTTTCCTTGTTGCCATGGGGCAGTCGTCTTAGATTTAGTGTTTCTTCGACAACTGTGGATCAACCTCCATGGTCAAGGCCCAAGTTTGATGGCCCATTCACACTTGTGCATGCTGGCAATGTGTGCGTTACTGTAACACACAGCAACACACCTTCTCTGTGTGCGATGCATTGCCATTCATTGTGAATGCCACCCTGCAACTCGCATGCCGTGCGTTGTGTGCTGCATTGTATAAAAAAGAGTTGCATACATCTTTTAATTAATTGTGGTGCATTGGCAGTCCATTCATAATGAATGGGTTGCCTTAACGCAACACGTTAACTTGCAACTTAACGCACTGCAGAGGATCGCAAAAGTGTGAATCCAGCCCCGAAGCATTCCACAGCATATGACGGATAGTTTAAATGCATGTCCAATCATAATGAAACAAAATGAGCCTTTAATACAATTTACTACAAAAGTTTTGTCGGCAAGGAGCAGCTGTGCTTTAAAAAATAAAAAGCAAATAAACATTAAATGGGGAAAACCTGTTTTTTTGGAATGAAAGCTGTGATTTTTTTTTTTTTTAATAAACTGACAACAAAAAGCCTTGGATAAGAATAACTGATCTTGTATACCGTGCACAATTGGGAAGGATTGGTCTGCAGCGTGTATCCCAAAGAGCCAGGTCTGTGCGCTATCAAGGTGTTATTTGCGCCCCCTTCCTTATACACTACTCCACCCTTTTACCTGGCGATGGAAGCAATGCATGGATCTGCAGAGCACAGGCCGGTATGCACAAACCACAGATGTGAAGCCTAGAGTGGTCTGCATATGTTCCCTCATAATGCACTACTCTGTGGTCACTGCAGACTGGCCCACAATGCATTGCTTCTTAACCCAGCAAGAAAAAGGGGCAAAATTTGGTACTATTATTTTCTAATGTATATTTTACTCTGAAATAATCCAAACTTATAGATACTGATGTCTATTTTGTATGTTGTAAAATAGGACTATGAGAAATGGTTGAAAAATACTAAAATATAAATATATCTATATATAAAATAACCTGCCGTCTGCCTGGAATAATTCATTGCTTCATTGTGGACGTGCCAAACAGCACTGGTGTTAGAGGAAATCAAACCTCTTCTTTTTAAAGAAAAGCCTGTCCAGAGAGAGGGCTTGCCATGGATGATCCTCTATTGAAAATGCTGACTTAAAGCACGACAACCAAGCAAGTGACATTTTCAGGAGAGGATAGCTATGGCTGACTTCATGTTTCTCTGTCAGGTTTCCTTTTTTAAATGTGTATATTTAATCCACTGTTACTGTATAATTGTTTTAAATCTATTGGGCACATTTTTTAAACTCTGGATTCTCTACATTGATAATTCAGTAAATGTGCATTTGGTGAATGTTTAAACAAGTGAATGCATGCTGTATGATGAGTATTTGTGGGTTAATGTGTATCAATTCATGACCAGGAGATGGAAAAGGTTCTGATTTAGTACATAGTGTCTCTCTCTCGCGTGCGTGTTTGTGTTCAGTAGGGATGCATCGATTACGGTTTTTCGGTATCGAATACCGATAATTTTTTTTTTTTCCCCGGTACTTGCCAATACCAGAAGTCCCATTAAGGAAGCCAGGCGGCGTGTAATTACTTGCTTCCTGATTAGCCGGGAAGCTGGGCGGCGGGTAAAGACTCGCCACCCGGCTTCCCGATTTTAGCAGTGAAGCCGTCCCCATGCTTCTCGTCACTAGGTGACGAAAAAAGCCTGGAGCCGGCTTTCTGGACAATCAGGAAGCCGGGCGCCGTGTACTGACGCTGCACCCAGCTTCCTGATTGGCTGGAAAGCCGGCTCCATGCTGCCTCATCATGAGGTGACAAGGAAGCATGAAGCCGGCTTTCCAGCTTCCTGATTGGCCATGGAGCACGCTTCTCGGCCAATCAGAAAGCCAGGCAGCGTGTAATGACTCGCTGCGCGGCTTCCTGTTATGGAAGTATCGGGCTAGGCATCCTGAGCATTTGGGCGAGTACAAGTACTCGCCTAAATACTCCGGAGCGATACTAATATCGGTGAAGCCTTAATCAGACTAATCACTTGCCCCCTGCCCGTTGTATATAAACGGACAGACTCGCACTTGACAGCGGGTTGCTATAAATAAATGGCTTTTCTCTTCCTGCTCTTGTGCGCCCCCTAGCGAGCGCACTGTAACGTGTTACAGACAGCAATGGCTGTTATATCCAAGCAAAGACCACCCTCCTTCTCCTCTGCTGGCTTTCTTGGGCTCCACTGTCCCCCATGCAGTTCTGGGACTGGCACGGCAGGTCTGTGTACATTCATCAAAGGGAGATGAGCACACTTTCAGCCAGCTGATCTCCTCTCCGATCACTGAAAGCAGAAGTGATGTCTATTTACATTACCTTTTTTTCTTAGGGGGCATTAATACATCTCCCTTTACTTCCTGGAACTCTGGCACATGTGACCATGCATATCATCTCAGGGGAGGAAAATGCCTTTCCCTGAGATCTCCTGAGATTACAGATGAGATTTCCCAGCAATGCTCTACTGATGTAACCTTCCCAGGATGCGACACCTGGGCACGATTATATCACTAATGTCCAAGAGGATCAGCAAGTGGAAAAACAATAATTGTAAGTTTAAAAAAAAGATTTGAACTAATGAATTGCATATTAGTGTGCAGAGCTGCATGCTTAGGTGATTTTTAGTGAAAAGGGATAAAGGTCTGCTTTAAGACTCATGATAGAATTCCGCCACATACCTCCTCTCTGCCTAGCAAAGTCACTTGGCTGGAGCTCTAGGACGGCTTCTTATTAATAAAACGTAGAGCTATTTTGAAAAATGTTACTGTTTGTTGTCAGGAATTTAGTCGTGTAAGCACAAGTTACTGTTAGATTCACTTTTTTGCACATTCTGCTCCAGTGTCTAGACACATTCTTCCATTTGTCTTAATGAATGTAGCTTGATATATATTTGTAAGCCATCCGTCTAAATCTTTAATTTGCAGTAATTGTATGAACAAGATAACAGAAAATAAGGAGAACAGTCTCCTTTTTTACGTATTATATTTTTGTATTCTCCAGTTATGTAAAGACCAGACTGCAGAGCAATAGCACCGTAAACCCTACAACTGCCATGGAAATGAATGACAATGGAAGGGTTAAAGCACGAACACAGTCTTTAAACCTGTGGCTTCTCTGTATGTTGTAGAAGTGATTTGAGTTGCTTTAAAGCCACTCATCATTTCTATGTGCTTCTAAAGTAGCCTTTCTAAAACCAGGGTGCCCTCTGACTTCGTCATGGGTGCCTTGAACTTTCCACACAGCGTCATACCTTTTCCTTGGAGGAGGCCCCCTGCTAGCACCATAGAAACAAATGAGGCAGGAAGTGATGTGAAGCACTTCCTGTTCAGTGATGATTGCACACACAGTTTTTGAATACTATGTCCTCAGTTATTTACAAACTGGGATGTTTGACTATTTTATTTTTTAAAATCAGATCGTTTTTATTGAACAGTTTGGTAAACAGTCAATAACATAGATCAACAGATAAATACAAAACAAACCACCAAGTATTGACCAAGCACATCCCGTCCTGAGGACTATATGTTTGAATATTACAGTGAATGATCAGCAAATATTTCACATATTTGCCGATCGCCCCGCAGCTGTCCTCCCCCGACCACCCCACTTTTGACTTGGGCGCTGGCAGATGGATTTGCTCTATGCCCCCTCTGATTCCCGCTGCCTCTGCTGATACAGGCAAGGGGGAGCAGAGGGGACACAGACCGCAGCGGGCAGGAGAAAGCTCCAGAACGCTGGAGGGGCTCTCCTCACCACTGGGGATTGGAGGGGACACAGCCGATGCTATACTGGCTGACAGCGCGTACAAGAGAAGCATGAGATCCAGACCAACTAATAGATAATGTGAATCACTGACAACAATTCTCATTGATTTAAATTGATTCGATGTTTCAGACCTACTTGGGTTTCTTAAAAGTTTACATACTTTTAAAAGGGTGTCATGACTGAAAATTTGAGAAACACTGTTCTAAAGCTGCTTTTCTCAACTCTGGTGCCTCAAAATTTTCAAACCGTATCATGCCTTTCCCTGGTGCAGGTGAGCCATGGTGAAAAGAGGGCTCCTAGTGTGAGAAGGGGTGACTGATGTGAAAGGAAGAGGTTGCCAATATGATGGGTGGCACCTGATGTGAAAGGGGATTCTGATGTGAATGGGAATCCTAATTTTTTTTGTGTGCAGTCCCACTTGAAAATTCCATACCGGACCCCTATCTCAGATAAGGATCTGGTATGGATTTTGGAGGGACCCCATGCCAATTTGTACATTCATCTTTTTCACATTGTACACCAGGGTGCATCGAGATATCACATGGTTTTGAAGGGTGCTGTGACTTTAAAAAAATGGTTGAGAAACACTGTTCTGAAGTATCACCCTACCCCTCGTAGTTTTATCGCTCACCCAGCTTCTCCAGCAGCCCAAAAACAATGCAGCTTTACTTGAAATGCAGAGCAGCAGAAGGTCAGTGAACTCCCCATTCGCTGATGGAGGGCAGAAGCATTGCACATTCTGTTCTTTCCTCTCGGAGTTTCATCATCCAGGTAAGCTGCAGATCAGGGACTGTTCACAACCTGCATTGGATGGAGGCAGACGGGGCACCTGCATCCTAATAGAAGAAGTCTACATAAAGTGTACCCGTCCCTGCCACTATATTATAACAAAGTGGGAGTCTGCCCCCCATAATAGTAGTAATCAGGTTATGATAAAAAACAAAATGATAAAATAATACAATGAAATAGAAGTTAAAATTGACCACCTTACACACGTATATAAATGTATATACAGCTAGGAAATGTATGTAAATGCCTATTAAGCTGCACACATTGGGTGTCTCCATACAGAGGTAGAAGAATAAGTTTAGGGCCTTTTTTTTTTTTAACGTTAACTTTATCTTTGTTTTGCTTGACTGTACTTGAATCCCTTCACGTCTTCCTCCCTCTGTGTATGACTTGTATCTAGTGCACCATTATAACGTAAATACCGGCATGTTTCTTTGACTAAAAAATTGCAAAAATTAGCTTACCTTGGGGTGTCCACTTTCCAAAAAGAGCAAAAATGTAAAATGGGGACACCACTGCTACTAGTACAGTCCAGTGTGGCATTTTATTTACTGTATAAAGATCAATTGAACAAAACGGCTTATGCATTTTGGGGGTCCACACTATCCCCCTTCATCAGGGCTTATGGATTACTTTATGCAGAAGCAGTCATTCCACGAACAGTTCACACTCTAAAGATGTGAGTCATTGAATTATCTAGCTCCCAATTTACAAACCTACTTTCCAGAATGGGTAATTTTGGGGGGTTTTGTACTGTCTTAGCAGGAAAGGGTTAGACCAGGGGTAGGCGACTTCGGCACTCCAGCTGTTGTGTAACTACAGGCAGTGGCGTCATAAGGGGGGTGCGGCCAGCCACCATTGGAGGGGTGACACCCAAAATGACAGTCATTTTGGTGTCACCCCCTATGAATAGTCGGGCACTCGGTCACGGAACAAGAGCCCGACATTGTCAGGAGAGAGGAGGGGACCCAGCGGCATACCTTATCCCGCCGGGTGGATGTCCCCTCCTCTCTTTGCTGGTGTCCAACACCAAGATGGCAGGCGTCAATAAGAACACAGCGCATGCGCGATGATGTCACGGCGGGTTGTCACCCAGCGTCGGAATGCCACTGACTACAGGTCACATAAGGCATTGCAAGACTGACAGCCAAAGGCATGACTCCCAGAGGCTTGTAGTTTCACCAAAGCTGGAGTGCCAAGGTTGTCTACCCCTGAGTTAGACCCTTTGTCCAGTTTTTTAGTGCTGTTTGTGTCCCTGTTGGGTAAATACACCCTCTAATTGTACTGGTGACCAGTGTCAGAAAGTGAGGACATATCCAAAATGTTAGAGTTGTCACAAGATCAAGAGGTGAGGGTAAGTGTTCCAGGGGAGGACACCTGTTCTGATGACAGGCTTTAGGCATACAGGCACTTTAAGGTGGAGGAGAGGCCAAGTACTTCCTAATTATATGTTTTTTTCTACATTCTATGTACCTGATGGTTAGTGCAAAGCAACCCCACTAACAGGAAGTGGTTATTACAGATTTAAGGGCTCTGGAATTACTTTAAGTGGCCAAATTAAATTCACATTTTAAACCGCTTGCTTCCAAGTAAAACTGAGGCTGGTCCTAGAAATAGAGGGCAGTGAGATGTTGGAGCACTGTCCAACTCCTATGCGGCAACTGGGTTGCTAAAGACGCTCACTTGGTTAAGCCAAGACTGCAAGTTTATGTTGTGAAATGGGAGCCAGGGCTAGCTGGAAAACCATAGCAAATATTCCAGCAAGACTGATGACTATTTTATCTACTAACTGAGTCACCTTACCTCTACGGCTACCCTTATCAATTTTATAGACATGCTTCAATTCATGAGGATGCCATTATATAAAACGAAAGCTCTGCCATTGTAAGTTACAGTTTAACTTATAGAATTGAAATTTAAATCAATGCAAAATGAAAAAAAAAACACAAAATGTACACAGCACATCACTGCAATGCATGCACAATGACAAAACGCGTGGCCTGTGACTGCCAGGAACACATCAGACGTCTATACAGGGGAAAAGTTTGAGGCTTGCGTTGAGAGCCGAGGTAATAGCAGACTGCTGGTCCACATAGTGCACATGTCAGTGTGTTATATGAATTCAGATTTTTAATAAAATGGAATTCTGAGATGATTCCATGTGTCTTTATTCAACCTCAAATACTATGTTACTACCTGAATATTGTAACAAATCACTGCTTCCTGTGTACAGTGTATGATTGCCCATTAGTTGCCCATGTATTGTCAGGACCGTAATGTTTTATCTACATATTGCCAAGTCTTGGCTGTGACCATATTATAAGTCCTCCATATGGCTGTCACAGCTCACCTATGCACCTCATGTTTTGCAGCTATGAAATCCTTGAATTTTATTTTTTGCTAGCCTGATTAATTACACAACATGCACATAAGTAAAGCAATGTTTTGCCCATTATTACAATTTATTTAATTTCATGATTATTAGTGAAAATCATTTTGACATATAGAAGAAGCATCGGGGAGGGGTTGTGTTATAAACTACCCCGGTATCAGATACACTAGTTATACCACTGTGCGGCAGTTCATACCACTCCCATGTGATGATGTAAAAATAGAAACAACCCCAACGTTTTCTTTAATTTCGTACACTTAAACCCTTCGGTATCTGAAAATTAAAGTGCCAACAAAGCATTACACCCCACCACAAATATGGCCGCTTTTAGTGTCGGCGTCAAGAAAATACGGCCATTTCATTGGTGCTGCTTAGTACGTGTTAGCCCCACCCACCCCGGCAGGAAAGATTCGGCGCGATGGTGACGTCAGCACTGTTGTTGGGGCAGAGCTTGGCGCTGAGCGAAGCAGCTTCACGTTGAGCCAATTAGAAAGAGCGGAGTGTGGAACGTCGTCCAATTACAGTGCTTGGCGCGAGATTCCGAGCGCGCGCTACTACCAGGTTCTGGAGTTTGGCGGGCTGAGGGCAGACCACAGCTGGACTTCAGACGGGTAACATCTATCGGCTCTTTCATTCCTCAGGTGGGTTTATGTCACGCTTGTGGGCTTTGTCATTGACAATTTCTACTTGTCGTGGTTATATATCTGAAGGGTTTAGTGAAAGCATTGCTAATTTACTTCGTAATCTGCACTGTTGTGTTGTCACAGCTGCTGGAGAGTTACATTGAAACTAGTGCACTGGAGTTCCAAATACACATTAAATGGCACCCTGGTAGAAAGAGAAGTTGACTGTAGTAGGTTGTATATTTCAGCATGTGTTCAGCCTGACTCCTATAAATCTACCTATTTTGTAGTGTTCCCCCCCCCCCCCCCCCCCTCCACTGCAAGGGTTAAAGCTCCTGTCCACCTTTTTACCTGTGTGTGATTGTCATGTAATCCCATTGTGTGGCACCGTGGTGTTGCTATTCATTTTGAATTGCATATGCATTGTAACGCACTGATATTAATGATCATTGTGTCATGCAGCATCCTTGGTGTGTTGGGGCCCTTTATAAAAACCGGAAGGGCTTATCAATGTACTGCACTGATGTGAATGGGCCGCAAGGTACTGAATGTGGCCACACTGAGGACCTGCACCACTGTGTCCCTTGGTGCCGAAGTTCTGCGAGATTGTACTGATCATGTGACTTCAGGAATCGGCTCCATTGGAGCCTTTTACCAAGAGGGACCAACCCCACATTAATGGGCCAGGATGTGCTTTTTGTATTGGAGGGGAGGAGGTGTGAGGATTGGGGGTAGTGTGGTGTCCCCTCTGCAACAGAGGTCTGGAAGAGCTGGTATAATGGATCAGTGAAGCATTTTCATCCAGGGTCGGGGCCTTGTATAAGATAGCTGCCATATCTTTTTAAAAAGTGGTTGTTTATAGTAAATTATTTCTTAGCTGTTATGGTTTTCTTCCTTGCCCTGGCAGTAGCCATTAGTGTCCCAGTATCTGAGTTTTCCTAGTAAACCTCCCCCGCTTTGATCCTCTGTGCACACAGCCCCCATCAGATAGTAATCAGCTGTGCTTGGCAAACAGCAAGGCTTATCATGGGTGTGGGGTGGCTTTATCCAAGTATTTCTCATCCCTTGTTTTTACTCGCGGCACCCTTAAGTATGGGAAACCCCAAGGCACCCCAGTCTAAAAAGTGTAATGGGGTACCCCTGCAAAAACACAAAAGTGAGGTTCCTCCCTTTTTTATATCGGAGTTCCCCATCACATGGGGATGCCCCCCCGGGGAAGCTAGGCTCCTTTTTTTTTTATCTGACATGCAGATATAGTCCTCTATTATGGGATCCCTTATACAGAGAAGGAACCAAATCATCTAATGGTGCCTGCAGACATAGGTTGGCAGAGTCATCTGTAGCTATATTAGGCCCCCATTAACACCATTGCATATGATTCATGATGTGCTATGGTCGAATACACCATTGACATGTATGGAAGCGTTTTCCCTGCCAATGGCTTTGTATTTGTCCATCCAGTCCTGAGATTTGCACAGCCACACTTGGCTAGCAGCATCTTATGTGATGTTCCTTGTCAGAAGTGCAATGCAGGGCAACTGATTGGAGCCAAGTTCTCCCTCTTCTAATTGGAGCTCTGCTGTAGACAAGAGGCTGAAAATAACTTACTTGTTGCATTAAAATACACTTAATTGATGCATTACTATCACTTGTGTAATTTGCGTGGCGTTGCGCCTTAAACTTAATTTGTATAATATTTTCCTGCTGCGGAGTCATAGACGTTAATATTTAACCACAGGTCATTAGACCATGAACATTGGTTAGACGCAGGATGGCTCATTGATCCCCGAGTGACAATGAAACTCACACGTCGGCTCAATGGATCAGGAAGTGAGCGAACACATACCGTTGCTCGCTCACTTCTCGATCCTGTCCCTGCAGAGGTCTGTGACTGTCACTCACGGCTCCCTGCAGGGTTTCCCCCCTCTCCGATCCCCCAGCGCTGACGGTCAGAACGGGAGGGGGCGGGAACAGCTGGCTCTACCTCTAAATAGGCAGAGCCAGCTGTCACTCATGCAGCTGCGTGGATCCTGGCTGCAGCGCCTCAGTATACCGCAAGCTGTAGCTCGCGGTATACTGAGCTTAGGGTGACGGGAGGACGCTAGTTTGTGTCCTCCCATTACCCTTAGGAGAACTATGGGGAAAAGCCCTGACCCCATAGTTCTCCTTTTTTAAATGATTTGTGTGGCCATTCATTTTGTATATGGTGAGTCACGTCCAGCACCACTGACAGGGAAAGTTAATGCAATCTGGCTGTTCTCCAATATGAATTGCTTCTCCTGCCGACAAACCTCATCTGGCAGCGCCTGCTGGTGCCTCCATGGACAATGTTGTGATCTCACCAATTTGAGACTTGGTCTCCTGTTTAGTGTCGGTGGCTCTTCTAAGCCAGCTACCATTCATTTCTTATATCAATAAAAAAGTTGTGCTGTGTGAGGGAATACTTCAATGGGTTGACTGGATTGTTCACGCACTTCCCAGCCTTCTGATTGGACCATGAAGGAGCAGCAACATACTCTGTCAGGGGTAGGCATCCTCGGCACTCAAGCTGTTGTGGAACTACAAGTCCCGTGAGACATTGCAAGATTGACAGCTACAAACATGACTCGCACAGACATGGGATTTCTAGTTTAGCCTCATCTGGAATGCCAAAGTTGCCTACCCCTGCTCTAGGCTCTCACTACCATTTAGGCGTGTGTGTGTATAGTAAAGCCAGGCTAGCTCTCTGCCCTAATCTCCAGTATTGTGCAGAGGATTAAGGTGCCCATACACTGGCCGAATTTTGGCCTTTTTTTTTTAATGTACCAGCTGAAATTTGCACAGTGTGTGGGGCTGAGCTGATTGAAGGAGCCGGCTGGAAGATTTTCTATCGATCAGAGTCGGCACTGGGCTGCCCGCACTGATCGGGGTTTCTGACACTCGTCGGCGGCACCTATCCGAATACAATGTAAACCGTGGGATTCCTCAATCGACACGCTGTTTGTGTTGATGGAGGAATCGGGTCAGGTTTTTTTCCCTCAGCCTGCGGATTAAACGAAAATACTGTATATACTAGAGTATAAGCCGTCCAGAATATAAGCCGAGGTACCTAATTTTATATACTCGAGTATATACGATAGGTGTATGGTCAGACTTGCAGGAGACATTCGGATGCTTACACTGGTTGCATTTGAAATAAATCATTAATATTTGTTTGGTGTATCTGATTTAGGAGCTAGAAAAGCTTTTTTTTTTTTAGGTTGGTGTCCTTTTAAGGGTGTCGGGTATTTACATGGGAAAGGACGTGTGTCCTGACTTACTGCAGAACCAGAGACGTTGTGACACAGGAAGTCCATGCAGAATGATTACTGGTGGCCATACATTGTATGGATTTTGTTTCTGCCATGAATCCTCAATCGATTTATAGCTGGAATACCCCATAAAGCATAGACAAATGTTGATTTCGGAAAATCGTTCGTTAGCTGTACTAACAATCCAAATTTTGAAGAACGATGGAATTTCCTTTTACACATGTGCTGTGGTTTTGCTGAGATTTTTGACCAATGAAAGCCCCACTGATTCATTGATTTTATTTATTTTTCAAAATTTCGATCACAATATCAAAAATCGGTGATGTACCATCAACTGTTCAATTTTTTTTTTCCTTAGACCGTTTGTGTACAATTTCCGAACAATAATCGTACAATGTATGGCCTGCTGACCGGTCAGATACTTTCCTTCCTTTTCCAGTATTTTTGTGCACTTCATGTAATATCTATGAGGGGTTAAATCTTGCAGGCTGGTTTTCTGCTACACACTGATTTAAGCTTGTTAACCTGCTTGCTATCCGGCTGTCTCATTCATTAAGCTATAACTGCTCCCTGTTGATGACTTAATCTGGAGCTTCCCTGAAGCTTGTTATCGTTAATGGGAAGGCCATGCTCATTAGAGCAGCAAGAGCTTTGGGCTCTGTGTTAATACTGTGCACAGTTAGGTGACTAGAGGGGTGGATTTGGTAAAAGTGAAGGTGTTTCCTGTAGCAGATTTTCAGACCTTGCTAAAAGAAAATGCCAATGGAGTTTAGTTGTTCCTCCCAAGTTTATGGAATGCCTCTGGTTTTTACCATTCCCATTTATTTTGAAACCTCAGATTTTATGAGGAATTGTTCATTTGTTTCTCTAAACGGTGCTCTTATGTTTTAATGTCAGTCAGAGATGAATATGAAAGCGTGTTGGGACGTCGGTCACAAATGAATATTGAAACGTGTCAGCACCTTCCGCCTAAACTTTAGTAACTTAGGTGTATGGGAAGCCTTAGGTCTATCTCTATCAATTTTTTTTGTTCAACCCGCGGGCTGAAGGAAAAAATTGAAGCGATTGCTCCACCAACACAAACAGTGTGTCAATCGAGGAATCCCGCTGATTATATTGTATTCTGACACGTGCCAATAACCAATCGGAGAGACAGCTCATTGGATGAGGGTGGTATTCCTCTTATAAGCCTTAAAAGAGAACTATGGGGTCAGTGTTGTTCCCCATAGTTCTCCTTAGGGTAACGGGAGGACACAAACTAGCATCCTCCCGTTACCCTAAGCTCAGTATACCACGAGCTACAGCTCGCGGTATACTGAGACGCTACAGCCGGAGCGGATCCCGACATCGATGTCGAGATCCGCCCAGCTGCGTGAGTGACAGCTGGCTCTGCCTATCTAGAGGCAGAGCCAGCTGTACCCTCCCCCGTCCGTTCCGCCAGTCAGCGCTGGCAGATCGGAGAGGGGAATCCAGCCCCTCCCCCCTGTCACGGCAGAGAGCCGTGACAGGATCGAGAGGTGAGCGAACCCGGTATGTGTTTGCTCACCTCCCGATCTACTGAGCCGACCTGTGAAAGTCTCATTGTCACAGGTCGGCTAGAACTATGAGGTGAGTGGAAATCACTCATCTCATAGTTCTCCTTTTAAGAAGCTGTCTCTCAATGTGTAATCTTTTCCCCCTGTAGGTTCATACATAACGTTTATAAAAAAACTATGAAAAATACATATAGAATCAGTCACTGAGCTATAGACGGATGCAAAATGTATTCTGTTTTGTGAGCCTTGGTTATAAAGTAACATTTTGTTTTTCAGCCATGCCAAGCACCAGGTCTCAGTCTCAGAGCTCCATTCAGTTCCCCAAGACAAAGACTGCCAAGACTCAAGCCAAAGAAGTGTTGCGGTCTCGGGCTAAATCCGACATTGGTGCCGTGCCCCTCCCGCCTGTATCTAAGGAACTACCTCTCAGTCCACGGAAAAGACTAGGTAAAAACCAATGCGTGTTTCTCCTGATGATGTTTGTTGTCTTTTTGGCAATCTTTTCACCATCTTGTCTTGTGTCCTTAGGTGGTGACAATCTTTGCAACATTCCCCAGTCACTCCGTTGCTCTCCCCCCAAACAACGCTGCAATGAGAATGGGCCCCTTAGTCCTGCCAAGGGGAGGCGTCTGATTTTTGATGAGAACCAGGCTGCTGTGACTCCCTTGTCTCCCGCTAAGAATGGTCAGGACACCGCTTTTGCATCCCCTCAGAAAAGAGGTCAGGAAACCCCATCCAGCAATTCCCGGCGTGGTCCACAGGAGAGGAAGAGTGTGTGTACACGACTGTTCAAACAAGAAGGTGAGGACATAAGCAGGTCTTTTCTGTTCTCTGAAATGCTACGAAAACTACCAGTATTTTTAATATTGGCCCGTGTGATAGACTTGCGGACTGAAAATGGATCTGCTAAATCATACAGCCAAGGCATAGGAAAAGCAACCACCATTCACCCTTGTATTGACGCTTCAGAATTAGTCTGAATGAGGAGGCTGAATATTGGGCACATAGTTGGAATACATTAGAATATCCAGTTTATGAATATAGGTGAAGCAGTCTAAAGTAAACCTTGTAGTTCTATGTAAATTCTTGGTTAAATATTCTTGCAACAAAAGAGCAGTTTCCTTTGTGTTGTGACATTTAGCATTTTCTGGGATCAGCTGATTTCTGCCTTTTTTATCAGGATCCTAAAAATGTGTTTAGTAGAAGATCCTGGGTCATATGTGGCCCCAGATTTTTTATTGTAAGAGCTCATCTGTGGTTCGGCCTTGGAGTTTGCAGTATTCACTACATGTATAAGGCAGTTGGCCAATACCTACCTGCTGGTATTATCTAGTAGGATCTTGCTCATTCTTTTCTTATTAGTAAATATCTTGGATGACGATGCATCTTCTAGTGCTGTTGTATATCCTCTCACATTTTAGAAGTTGCCAGCTTGTCTTATGTATTTTCTCTTTGCCCTGTACAGGAACCTGCTATCAAAAGGCAAAGTGCGCACTAAACACAGCTGTGCCAGAACGTCTGCTGGCACGGGAAAAGGAGACGACAGCCATACTTTCTTTTCTGAAGACGCATGTTACGTCTCAGAAGCCTGGCAGCCTTTATATCTCTGGGGCTCCAGGAACTGGCAAAACTGCATGTCTGACCAAGCTGCTGCAAGAGAATAAGGTACTTTACCACTATTGGAGGGACCACAAACTCTTCTCATAGGTGTACTTCTAATAGATGGAACTAAATCTAAAGCAATGTATTCATGCTGGGCAGGCAAAATGTAGAGTGGAGGGTAACTAACTTAATTTAGTTCAATCTGGCTTTTCTCAGTTCTGCTAAAAAAAATGCTTTTTGTTTCAAGTTCACTGGCAGTGTTCCCAGCCATAGCAGAAGAGATCTCTGGGTCACCAAAGCTTTCAGCTTCTGGGAAAGATATGGTCAGAAATCTGGAGAAGATGGTCACCTCCAAGGGGCCCGTCATGTATGTGCATTTAACCTTTATATTTTCTTATAGTGCTTTAACTTCCAATGTACCAACTTTTTGCATCTTTGGGTGTTATCTCATAGTACAAAGCTTGCAGGTAAATGTACTGCATCCAGTTGTGTCTGGTCTTGCAAGAATATCGAGGGGTTGACGCACACCTTTCACCCCTTATTTCTGATAAATCTAAGTAAAAATTCTACACTTGGTTATTACACAACATCTAACATTGACTCTGTTTCTATTGCAGACTTCTTGTGCTGGATGAGATGGATCAGTTGGACAGCAAAGGGCAGGATGTGCTGTATACAGTGTTTGAGTGGCCCTGGCTCCCAAACTCAAGAGTTGTGCTCATTGGTGAGTGAAGATCAGCCGTGTCCGTTAGGAATTGTTGATATGGATGTAAATCCAGTCAACAATCTGTCCTGCATTGCTTGCATGGTGAAATATGTACTTTTTCCAGCTGAATTACTGTTTGTCATCTTTCCCTCATGGCTTCATAATTTCTTCTGTTTAGGAATTGCAAATGCTCTAGATTTGACAGACCGTATCCTGCCCAGGCTCCAAGCTCGTCCTCATTGCAGACCTCAGTTGCTCAATTTCTCTCCGTATACAAAGGATCAGATTGCCACTATACTCCAAGACAGGCTGACACAGGTATGTTTTTGCTGGCCTAAAAAATGTGTAAGCTCCTTGAGGGTAGGGACTGATGTCAATATGCAACTATGTAAAACTTTGCGTAAATTGTCTCCGCTATATAAATACCTGTAATGAATGTTCTCTTGTGAAGGCAGGATTTGGAATGTCCGATATTTACTGTTTTAGTTGAATTTGTATGCTCTGTAATTGCTTTGTGTAAAATGTATTACATTGCTTCTATAATCCGTCCCTCTGATTTGTCTGAAGGTGTCTGGGGACCAAGTTCTAGATAATGCAGCCATTCAGTTTTGTGCCAGGAAGGTGTCGGCAGTCTCTGGAGATGCAAGGAAGGCCTTAGAGATCTGCAGGTGATTTGGGATTTTCACAATTTTTTGCTCAATTTCAAACCCGGCATCCTGTTTTTAAAATAAACATTTTTAGTGGAGGAATATCCTGTATATAACTTAAGACATTGGCTCCTTCTATTCTGTTTCATGGTCATTTAAAATCCTAATGACGTCTCACCGGTGGACATTTCTTGTTTTAAACAATATTCTGTAACAATAGTCAAATCTGTCAGGATCTTGGGTTCATTCTGTTTTGTGTATATTTAGCTGTGATCCTGTGATGGTGACCCATTGATGCTTTAGGTTTCTGGTGTTTACATGCAATAAGTGCGTTTCCTGTTTCCAGGCGAGCAGTAGAAATAGTGGAGTCGGATGTAAGGAGCCAGACGGTCCTAAAGCCTCTATCTGGATGTAAGTAGATGTTTATCTCTGCGGAGTTCCCATATCAGTATTGGGGGCCCAGTCAGTGGACAGGATGTTGTCTATTTCCTGTGTGGTCCTCTTGTTAATCCCTGTATGAGTGCTGCAATTCTGCTTTGTGTCTTTTTGCTCTACCTGTCAATGCTTCTCAGATGCCAAGATGCAACTGCTCAGTTACAAACAATTGTTACCATCAGACTCTCATCCGGAGCTGGAAGATTTATTGGCAGTCTGTACTTCTGCAGCATTATCATGTCCAGCTATGTGCATTCCCACAATGTATCCCCCTCTTTCTGATGTGCATTCCCACAATGTATCCCCCTCTTTCTGATGTGCATTCCCACAATGTATCCCCCTCTTCCAGATGTGCAACCTATCAAATAGGACATGAGGAGAAATATCCTAAATGGTGACACAGTTGGAAATACACTTTATTTAAACTGCTCAGTTACAAACAATTGTTACCATCAGACTCTCATCCGGAGCTGGAAGATTTATTGGCAGTCTGTACTTCTGCAGCATTATCATGTCCAGCTATGTGCATTCCCACAATGTATCCCCCTCTTTCTGATGTGCATTCCCACAATGTATCCCCCTCTTTCTGATGTGCATTCCCACAATGTATCCCCCTCTTTCTGATGTGCATTCCCACAATGTATCCCCCTCTTCCAGATGTGCAACCTATCAAATAGGACATGAGGAGAAATCTCCTAAATGGTGACACAGTTGGCAATACAATTTATTTAACTCTTCCTCATCCAACTGAAAATAAGGCTACAGCTGGTCTTTGTGGCCTATCTGAACTTTGTGTGTAGAACCCTGTTCATGGGGTTCCCACAGCTTGTGTATGGAGAAAGTGATGTATTAGGTGGGCGCTCCCACTGACTCCTATAGATTTAAAGGCGGTTAGGGCCCTACATTCTGGTTGTCTGCTTTTAGATAAACTTGTATATTTGCATCCCTTCATATTCAGAATCTGAGCTCACAAGTTTCCAGCTTGCATTAGTGGCAATTCTCCTGTAGATGTTATGAAATTGAGACTAATATATGGTCTAGCTGTACATTTAAATAGCCTTTTCTCATTTTGATCTTCCAGGTCCATCTCCAAGTAAAGAAGCTGCATCTACTCCAGTTCCAAAGAAGGTCAGCCTGCCCCACATTTCACGGGTTATATCTGATGTGTATGGAGACAAAATGGCAGCTGGTGGAGGAGGGGAGGATTCCTTCCCATTGCAGCAGAAGCTCCTTGTGTGCTCTCTCCTGTTACTAACCCAGCAGAGCAAGATCAAGGAAGTCACTTTAGGAAAAGTAAGTCATTTACCTGCCTGTAATGTATCCTTCATAGTGGTCTGATAGCTGTTCTGAGGCTGAAATGTTACTCTTCTGTTTTCCAGCTTCATGACACATACAGCAAAGTGTGCCGCAAGCAGCAGATGCCTGCAGTGGGCCAGTCAGAATGTCTTTCCCTTTGCCAGCTTCTGGAAACAAGGGGCATTGTGGGTCTCAAAAAGTCTAAGGAAGCTCGCCTTGCAAAGGTAAACTATAATGCTGTAAGCTATACTTTTCATGAGGTGAGCTGGTGACTATCTTGGTCCCGTTAATCACTTTAGTGCATTATGCTCCCATATCTGACTTGGCTGTCGTTGCTGCTTTAGCCTGTAGAAAGAGGAAATATACTAAAAGTTATCTGTATACTTTGTTACTTCCATACCTGTGTCAGATTTGTTTGTCTTCTATTCATGCATTATTTTACCGGGTGGATGTTAAAGCCTCATCTGATGTCAGCTCTGGATTGAAGCTCCTTCACATGGCTCTTTAATCTGGAGGCATCCCTAAGTTCTGTTCTGTGGGCTTGTTGGTGATTAGTTGTTGCCCACCCCTCAGTTTGACTGCTTTTGGCTGTCTCCACGGTCTCTGAATTGCTTCTGATCCGGTGTCCCTCAGTAGAGCTCTTTGAGGGACACGGGTCACACCCCTCTGTCTATGGTCAGATTTTCTACCAACCCAAATGTCTGAATCCTGGTCCCTCAATGGACTTCAAGAAATCTGTTTTCTAGCTGGGGATGGGCAGCAGTGGCAGCCTCCATACTTCTCGGCACAAGTTTTCTTTACTTTACCTGCAATATATATTCTGCTTTCTTCTATGTGCCTGTCCCTAATTTGTATCCTTTCTACCTGTCTAGGTGTCTCTGAAGATAGAGGAGCGGGACATAGAGCACGCCTTCAAGGATAAAGTCCTTATCGGAAATGTTCTCCACGCAGGGATATAAGCTGCTTTTACAGGCCCCATACACTTGCTTTTACACTTTTATACATTTTACTTTGGAAGGAACTGCTGCTGCTACCGAGGGAATGAAATGCTTTGTAGCCTGAGTATTGGCAAAGAAAAGGCTGAGGTTTATTTCTGTGACTATAAAAGTGACGTTTTGGGTCATTTGCCGTATTAACATGATTTTAGAGAAACTGGTGTAATTTATACTTTGTATATAGTTTTATTCTGTACTATTCAGTACATGATGCAGAAGATGTGACTGTTTGCTGCCATCTGCAGCAGATATTTTACTGTCAGACACGGTTCTGGTTTTACAGACTCGTCTTTTTTAATTTGTTTTTTAATAAACCAAAAAATCTGAGTTCTTGGTGTGTTTTTATGTAAGAGTTTGCCTCATCCTCAGGAAACGGTAGTGAGAGAATACCAAAGCTGCCTACATTACATCCAGCTCAGGGTTTACTTGGACACGAGAGTGAAATTGGGAGAACATTTTAATAAACCTGCACCATGGTATGGCACCACCAAACTAGAGGATAACCTTTTACAGCAGAAAGAGGGGACATTGCAGACATGGGGAACACCTAAGGCTACATTCACACAGATGTACTGGGATTCTTGCCACAGGCATCCCTGTTCAGATCTGGCTGCTGTACCCATTGAAGTTAATGGCAGGGTGACAGCGGCCGCATCTGTAAGTAGCCTGCATGTAAACTTACGTGGTACGATGACATGCATTACAGGATAGACGATTGTCACTGAACGTATCTATCTGGCATCCAGGGACTATCATCCTGAACCTCATGTATTCATACCATGCGCTGCTGAGTGATGAGTGCTGTCAACTTGTCATTCACATCATTGGGTACCGCAGCCACATCTGGGGATTCCTACCACAGTAATCCGTAGGTTCTTGCTGCAGGAATTCCAGAATGCGGCATAACTTCCCATGTGACTAGGGCCTAAGACGACTCCTGTGAGACTACAGACAGCGAGTATAGCATACCCACTGGGAACCTGCCTCCTACCACAGAGTATGCCAAGCTGAAACAAAGATGTCTGTGCTTCTGACTTATAATGCTGAGACTGACCTTGTGGTTATAACAAGCCAGGCCCTAATGCTCTTGGACTATACCTGTAATATTGCATGTGTCAGTATCCATGGAACAGTGATGATTGCTGAAATCCATGCAGTGTATGACTTCTTTTTGACAACAAAAGTAGTATTAGACCTTAAGCAGGTACTATGCACAGTACAGGTCTATCTGAACACTCGGTCTTACAAAAAAACGGTCATGAGAGAAATATGGGAGCTGCCATTGCCAACCTCCTGATAATGCCAGTGAGCTGACTCTTCTGACGTTCAGTGCTGCATGGGTTCCTGTCCTGGAAGAAGTATGCAGATCAGGGTATTCAGGAAGTATGAGCATACTTTGAGATCACTGACTCTAGTGAATTCGGAGGGTTAGTATTTAAATGGAGGTCCATCATGGCAACCTCCATATTCCTCTTCACTGGCTACATTTGGATTCCTAACCGCACTTGCCTGATCTGCTTTTGTGTGCGTTCAAGTACTTGTGCCCCCCAAACTGAAAAGCTATTGGCCCAGTGGTTCTGTACACCTTATTGGCAGTGTGGCTACTGTCTGCCTACTTTTGCAGCACAACTCCATCTGGCTAAAAGGGTGGCTTTGGCAAGTGACTTAAAAATCTTACCCACAGATGGCCTGGACTGCTTGAGAACCGTAACGGGTACTTTAGAGACTGCTAAAATCCGAGCGGGCCATCACTGCAGCGTGTGGAAAGCCAAATAGATATTCAGCTACACATTGGACCAGTAACCTCAGGTATTGGTGTCCTTCCTCCACTTTCCTGCTGGAGCAGATACATGATGTATTTGAATGATTGTGCAGTACAGCAAGCGCCACGGTTTAACCACACTGACAACTGCACTCCATTAATAAACAGACCCGGTCACACACACACCACTGACGTCCTCAAGGCTACACGTCCGCCTTGCGTTTTGTAGCGCGATTTCTGCTCACATATGAAGCTCGATGGAGATGTTCACATGTTGCAGCTCAATGTCGCCTGTCGCTGACACTCGTTGCTCGAACATGACCTATTTTTCGGCAGATTTCGAGCAATTTGGCCCCAACAGGCTTTGATAGACTGTCAAAAGAAGTGCTACGTAGCGTGACAAAATGTGCACTGTAGTTCAATGTTGCTCAAAGTCGATCAGCGCTAAAAAAGCGCTTTTGTTGTAGCTCAGTGTGAATGGGGTCTAAAAGGGTTCGGAAGTCACTCCAGTATGTATTCCTTGTACTAGGAATACATACTGGAGTTGTTTATGTGACGCAACCTTGATTTCTCAAGACCACATATCCCATCATGCATTGCTTCCAGCAAGCAATGATAATACATTGTTCAGATGTTGAGCTGTAGTTCAGACAGCAGGCTCTGCGAGAGTTGTGATGCAAAGTGTATAGTCACAAGGCTGAGTGGAATTGTCAGTACCTTGAGGAAGTACATCCTAAAGGCATCTCCAATAAGTAAGTTTACAACTTTTAGATGTTATTGGAAGTGGGATAGAACTTCAATAAGGAAATACATATTTCTATATATTTTACACGTTCAATGTCAACTGAAAGGTCCAGTGCCGCACATTCCCGTTATATGCCAGATTGCATTCAAACTCCGTTCATTGGCTCTCTGCAGATGAGAATTGCCTGTCCACTTACAAAGCCTTGAATGTGGCCCTTGATGTCGCCAAAGGGCCACATATATTTTATGTAATGCTAGACAAGACTGTCAGCTTGTTAGAGGAAATGGTCAGAGACTGTTCTACAGGAGTGATGGTGGTCATGCTGTCAGAAACTGGAGATGTGTTACATGAAACTCTTAAAGAATACTGTTATTTAAGGCCCCTTTACAAATCAATGCTCCCGCTACTGACTGTTGGGGCCCCTGAAGCCACACTTCAAATGCAAAAGGGCTGCCTGTGATCCCTCAGGCCTATAGACAAAACGTTTTGCTCCCCAAGCAACATTCCCCCTTACTTTCTTTCTAGGATCACTTCTATTCCACAAAACCTTTTTTATTGTACTGGTTGTACCATGACATAATCAATAAGCTTATATATGATATGACCGTATTCCTGGTTAAAACTATATCAAGAAAAGCTTCCTCTGACACCTATAGGCCCACTGTACATAATGGGGAAGTCCTGTAAAGCTCAGTACATGAAATGAGCAGCCCTGTTATCGTTTATGCCAAGGGTAACCAAATTGTGGCCCTCCAGCTGTACAAATCCCATTAGGCATTGCAAGACAGATGGCCAGAGGCAGATGTATGATGGGATTTGTAGGTTCACCACAGCTGGAGGGCCACCCTTGTTTTATGCCAACCCCTTATCTGCAGAGCACGCACCACACTGGATTCCCTGCAATCTGGTGAATTAGGTTCTTATCGGTTAAATATTCAGATGACACAAAATATTCATGGCGGGGTTGATTGTTAGGGTACCCTATGGTTATTTTTCCCAGATCTCAGAAAAGCTCTGCCAGCATTTCCGCAGCCTTGCTCAGGTAGCTGGAAGTCCCTCTCTGCAGTTTAGATGTGAAGGTGTGTGACCACTTCACTTTTCATCTCATCAGCAAGCTGCAGAGATTCCTGTATAAGGGGAATTGGTTGGCAGTGGTTATGATTCAATGCTAGCGTGCACTGTCACTGCAAGAATCTGCAATACTGACTTCGTAATGATTAGTGTATTATGTATCGGTATTGGTATCGGTGCAGATACTGAGCATATGCACAAGCACTCGTACTAATGCTCCGATACCCAAAACCGATACCACGGCCTTCTTGGGAACCACGCAACGCCTCTGTTTACAGCGCTTGCACCAGCCCGCACATCTCTCCCTCCTGAGACCCTCCGTCCAAGACATCAGGCCGGCACCCTGGAGCAGAGTATGTACAGGTATGGTGCAGCAAAACTGCACCTAACCTCCACAGCTACTTCAGAAATTCTGTCCTGTGCTTTATTCTGCATCGCTGTATAATGTATTGCAAAGATCTGTAGTTCTCCATAGCTGATGGTATTATTCTGCATTAGTGGGATTTGTAGTCCCCTATTGCTGGTATTATTCTGCATTGCTGTATAATGTTTTGCTGAGATTTGTAGTCCTCTATAGCTGATGGTAATTTTCTGCATTGCTGTATAATGTTTTGCTGAGATTTGTAGTCCTCTATAGCTGATGGTAATTTTCTGCATTGCTGTATAATGTTTTGCTGAGATTTGTAGTCCTCTATAGCTGATGGTAATTTTCTGCATTGCTGTATAATGTTTTGCTGAGATTTGTAGTCCTCTATAGCTGATGGTAATTTTCTGCATTGCTGTATAATGTTTTGCTGAGATTTGTAGTCCTCTATAGCTGATGGTATGATTCTGCATTGCTGTATAATGGATTGCTGGGATTTGTAGTCCCCTGTAGCTGGTGGTATGATTCTGCAATGCTGTATAGTGAATTGCTGGTATTTGAAGTCCTATAGCTGGTGGTATTCTGCATTGCTGTATAATGTATTGCTGGGATTTGTAGTCGTCTATAGCTGATGGTAATTTTCTGCATTGCTGTATAATGGATTGTTGAGATTTGTAGTCCTCTATAGCTGATGGTAATTTTCTGCATTGCTGTATAATGTTTTGCTGGGATTTACAGTGCTCTATAGCTGTGGTATTCTGCATTGCTGTACAATGGATTGCTGGGATTTGTAGTCCTCTGTAGCTGATGGTATTATTCTGCATTGCTGTATAATATATTGCTGGGATTTGTAGTCCTATAGCTGATGGTATGATTCTGCATTGCTGTATAATGGATTGTTGAGATTTGTAGTCCTCCTATAGCTGGTGGTATTATTCTGAATTGCTGTATAATATATTGCTGGGATTTGTAGTCCTCAGCTGGTGGTATTATTCCGAATTGCTGTATAATGTTTTGCTGAGATTTGTAGTCC